AGAGGGCATGCACACAATTATTGTGCCTTTAAAATGGGAAGGCTGACTTATACTTAGTTTGAAAGGGGTGTGGGGGAAGAATAGACAAGTTTGGGAAGCAGACTCTGCTTGAACCGTGAGGTTGAGGCAAAATGGAAGCTCCCTGCTATTGAATGATAAAAGCAAGAGGCTGAAAGGGAGACAGGAGAAATGTTGCCGCTTTGCTTCTACTCAAGAGGAGCTAATGGTCTCTTCCCTGTGTCAGTTTCTCCACAGCTAGCTGATAGATCAGAGGTCCCCAAACTTGGCAACTTTAAGACTTATGGATTTCAACTCCCAGAATTCTTCAGCCAGCTATGCAATGCTGGCTGGAGAATTCTGGGAATTGAAGTCCACAAGTCTTAAAGTTGCCAAGTTTGGAGACCTCTGTGATAGATGATCCAGAGTTTGTAAGCTGTTTTTTTTTGTTTTTTGTTTGCAAATGGCCAGGACAGTCACAAAGGAATTACAAGCCCAAATTACAAGCCCTCACTCAGAGCAAGACATAGTGAAGTTGCAATGACTGCAAGCCACCCTGTCCCATTCTGAGAAACCCCCTCATGTGGGTTATGAAGTCCTGACACAAATTCCAGGGAGCAAAGCTGGCTAGTTTTCTTCTGTGGATGGAAACTTCAAGCAAGGTGGAGAAGCTGTTGCCACTTATGCTGCGTGAGAGTATCTGACAGTGGCCATCTTTCTATAACAGATTTGTTTAGCTGTCTTTCTATTGGGTGTACACTGCTTTAAGCAGACACTAGGTTCCCATTTGTTGTTACTCCAAGGAGCAATTTAAGAACCATTTTAAGGAATTATTTTAAGCGTTTGGAAGCATAATACCTAGCCTTTTCAGATTTAGATTTCTCCTAAGAGAGAAAGGATTTTGACTTCAGTAGTTCAATTCAGCTACCAAATCCCATTTTCCTGATTTACCTGTATTACAGTGGTAGTGATGCCGCATCCATTCAGACCAGAGGCACTTTGAGTGAAGATGGAAAGCATTACCTATTAAATGGTTCAAAGGTACAGAATGGGCTACTTTGTCAATGTCAATTTAACCAATGCGATTTACATTTCTAAAGAGAAAGCTGGCTGGATGAGATCAGCCTTTTTACAAAAAGAGTGAGCTGCACAAACACTAAAATAACCTAATAAGAAAGCAAGTGTACCCAAAAGTGCTTTTCTTTTGTATGAACTTTCTAGCCATTTAGTGTTTTAAAAGGATTTATTTCCCAGTGTTAAATCCAGCTTGTCAGATCTGTATTCACCGGTAGGAGATTATTTCAGAAAACATGCTATGGATGAATACTAAAGATACAACATCTGCCTATCAGTTCATACATATTTACTGAAGTAATTTTCATGTTTCTTCTGAATGGAACATAAAATATGTTCTTTTCTTTCAATTGCAGATATGGATATCCAATGGTGGTATTGCAGATATCTTTACTGTGTTTGCAAGAACTGAGGTTGTTGATGAAGATGGTGTATTCAAAGACAAAATTACTGCTTTTATTGTAGAAAGAGCTTTTGGTGGAATCACTAGTGGAAAAGCAGAGGATAAACTGGGGATACGTGGATCTAACAGTAAGAAGTATATTCACATTATTGTGGAATTTACAAGTGCAAATTGTTTACTAAACCTTAAAAGCAATTCCAGTGTTTTTGTCAACAACTTTTTCTAAAATGTGTGGGACAGATTTTTTTTAATTGGCAAAAAAGTATTTATATGCATTTTCTGAAAATTTTTAGTTCCATGATCACATTCACCATTTTTTACTTCATATCTGCATTTAGAATAGTTTATGATTTTCCAAGTAAAACCCCACTAACTTCTTCTGTAAGCTGCATCCTTCATTACTGAAGTTAGTGGCAGGTAGATGGTGGGGTTTCATATGCCACATTTTAATGTCCTTTTGTGATCTTTGTCCTGCTGAAAACAATATTGTATCAGAAACTCAATGTAATTTACAACTTGTACCTACTACCTACTACCTAGAGTAAGCATATGGTAGGAAATGGCCTTTTTTGTACCAATCATTCCACACAAATAATGCTTATGTAAAATTTTAATGTAAAATTTCATACCAGCTCTTAGCACACTTTATATTAGTTTATTATTATATAAGAGTCTAGAACAGGGGTCATCTTTTTTCATAGCATCTATGTTAATTCATATGTAATGTAATCCAAAATATTACATTCTAGTTCTTTAAATAGCACATTTTGATAAAGGAATTAGCCCTGAACACAGTACACAGCATCTGGAGTCATAGAATTATACCTCTTGTCATTATCTCAGTCTTTTTATATCTGGTATTCACCTCATTGAAAACCCGCATCCAATTGGAATTTTCAAATATAACATAGTCCTGCTGGCAACAACCACAGGCTATGTCTAAATTGGGGAATGGGAAGAGTTGGAAATTAGAATGGTGAGCTCCATAATTAGTCTTGGGCCTCACTCCCAGTCTTGAAATCTTCTTGATTTTTAATTGTGAGTGTTTTCTTTGTTCAAGGATATTGCAAAATGTTGAATATTTTTTAATCTTACAGCTTGTGAAGTTCACTTTGAAAATACAAAAATTCCTATAGACAATGTTATTGGAGAAGTTGGAGGAGGGTTTAAGGTAAGATGTAGAGATAATGCCATATGCTTCATTGTGACATTTAGAGAATGAATTTCAAATTGCCCTTAATCGCATGATCAATTCTCCAAAATTCCACCTAAATGAATAACACTGAGTCTTGGTTTTTAATAAAAGTGAACTATGAGAGAAAAACTATATATGCATTTTTCTTACCTATCTGTATTTCAGGTTGCTATGAATATTCTAAACAGTGGAAGATTTAGCATGGGCAGTGCTTCTGCCGGAATACTTAAGAAACTGATTGGTAAGACCAAGCTTCTGGATTGCCAAGTTCTTGCCTTAGAACCTTTTGTGCAAAGATATATACTTATATTAGTTTGGGTTACTGAATCTCTTTGACATAGTATTTTATTTAGGAATTACATCCTACATGATCTTTATTTTGATCTCAGTCAAGATTGTTATACATTAGTGCAGCAAGTTATAATGTTGAGAAGTTTGTGATATTTTTGTAGGCTATGTAGACCCTGTGGCGTTGAGGTGATATTCTAAGGAAGTTTGTGATTTAGAGACACTGTCTAAAGTTTCTCAGAATGTCCTGATACATACTGTTTGTACGTATAATTTTTAATGAAAATCACAAAGCTTGGTGGAGGAAACAAGTTTGTGTTGTGCTACAGTGACTCCTAAATACCTACCATTTAGGGATTTGGAACAATTACCTGCTTTTTATTCAATATTCTGGAAATTATTTGCCTATGATGATTAGGCAGGTGTTTTTGTTACAGAGCACACATTATATTTAAAAACAAATTATATGTGTCCTGGGCTCAAAAAGAGTGTTCTTTGTTTACTTATGTCATACAACTGTTTGGAAGGAAAACATGTGCAAGCCATTGAAAACCTTTTAACTGAGATAAATATGAATGTTTAAAATGACCTTTGCCTTTAAATATCCTGAAGTTCATACCGTTCTTTTTTGTATTTGAAATAAATTTTACATGGTCATTAAGACAATATTTTGAAATATGGTAATCATATTTCACATCAGTGAAATTATGCAACTACTATCAGTGATCTCAATATAAATGTGTAAATATAAAAACAATTGACACTGCATTGACGGTGCCACAAACTGATGCAAAAGTTACATTGGGATTTCAGTGTTAGTATTGTCCATGAGTCAGTTTCATTTGTTACCTTAATTCTAAATTGTTTTTATTGACACATTTAAACCATATGTTGCTTTTCAGACTCAGTACTAATACTTAGGCTTATTCAATTGCCTCCTTTTCTCACTTTTTCAAGAAATGACTGCAGAGTATGCTTGTACAAGAAAACAATTCAATAAGAAGCTGAGTGAATTTGGATTAATTCAGGTGAATAAGAAATTGTTTAATTTATTTGAGAAATGCTAAGGAAATTTAACCTGCTTTGAGCAATATTAAATTGTGACAGTACTGGTTTAAAACATATGACTTTATTGGTAATATTGTAAATAAAATGAATTATTTCAAGTGTATAAGAATATTGTATTAAATCATGATTTCTTGAAACTGAGAAGAAATTCTAATGTTATTTTTAATTTATGCAGAATATTTAAATATAATGGATATTTTTAAAATGAATCTTTCAGGAGAAATTTGCCCTTATGGCTAGGCAAGCTTATGTAATGGAAAGCATGGCCTATCTCACTGCAGGAATGATGGACAGGCCAGGAATCCCAGATTGCTCGGTTGAAGCTGCCATTGTTAAAGTAAGCTTTATTGACTGGGGTAAGGCTAGAAATATTTCTCCTAATGTTCAAATACAAGAAATCTGTGATATATTTTCACCCTTTCATTGTTTACCACTATTCCAGTTAAATACTTTTGTTTGGCTGCTTAAATGATAGCCCTTGTAATTCAGTTCTCTTTTGGTGACTGCTCATCTGTAAGACTTTGTACATCTAACTGAAATAGAAACAATAGAATGCCAGGAACTAAGATTTGCCTACTTCACAAGTTGACCATAAACCCCAATGAGTCATCTGTTTTAGAAAGATTTCCAAATGCAGGTAGGATTGTAGAAATTATCAATGAAATGTATTTCACAAATTAATGTAAACTCACTCAAATTCAGTTGGGGAGGACTTTGAATATCTTTATGTGTCCACTAGTTTGGCTTTATTCATGTTCTGGTATATGTGAATGGTATGTAGAGAATGTTCATTCTATAAGAATGTTGAGAACTGACTCTGGTTCTCAGAATATTGCTTTTAAAATGGCACTAAAAGATGGTTATATCAGATTTGGATAATTCTAGAATTTCTAGCAGTATAAATATCTTAAATAGCAATAGCACTTAGACTCATATACCGCTTCATAGTGCTTAAGTGACAGTCAGCATATTGTTCCCAATAGCCTGGGTCTTCATTTTATTGACTTTGGAAGGCTGAGTCAACTCTGAGCTGGTCAGGATCAAACACTTCGCAGTGGGCAAAGTTAACCTGCAATACTGCATTCTAACTACTGTGCCACCACGACTCAGCAGATGAAAGCAAAATAAAAATAATTTTTTAAAATCAATATATTCCATAGGCACATATAACTCAGTAGCATATCGTGTTTGCGTAGTTCATAAATCTAAAATGAGTGTATTTTTATTATGAACACTTGTGAGAGACAAAATTGTTCTTATAAATTAATAGCTCATCTTCATATTCTGTAGGGTTCAGCAATTATTACTAAATCTATCCACACTTAAAAAACCCATGCTGTTTTTCATAATTCCAAATATAGTTTGCCATCTTTATCCCACTAGCATGACAAATTTAATAGTAACTTAAACTAAGTGCTTCTTATATTTCTAAGTTTAAAAAAAAACTAATATAAGAATAACATTTTTTCCCCTACGATTATGGGCAGGTGTTCAGTTCAGAAGGTGCTTGGGTTTGTGTGAGTGAAGCACTGCAAATTCTTGGAGGCCTTGGCTATATAAAAGACTATCCATATGAGCGCTATCTCCGGGATAGTAGGATACTTATGATTTTTGAGGTAAATATGAACGCCTTCAGAAAAAATAAATAGTAACAACTGTTCTATGGTCTTATTAACAGTAAGGCACTTTTAATCTTTGAACAAGATTTTAATGTATCTTTACAAGCCATTGACAGAAATATCACTTTAATAAAATTAAAGTGTATTAACTTTAATACAAATTTAAATTGCTCAAATATTTCTTTTTCTGTTTCAGGGAACAAATGAGGTTTTGAGGATGTATATTGCTTTGACCGGCATACAGTATGCAGGCAAAATCTTAACTGAAAGAATAAAGTATGTAATTTTTTGAAATAATCATATTAAATAAATTAATACTGGACGTAGATTGAAAATTGGTCAGTAGGAACAGCACTGAAGGAAAAGGATGCTTCAGGCTTTTTTTCTTTCATTAATGAATAATTTTAATAATGCTCCATTTGTATTATTCTGGAAGGATAATTTTAAAGTAAGTCTTATTAGATCAGATGGTGTTACCTAGTTTGGATAAGGAAACATCTGCAACAGCCAGGCTCAGAGAACACCAAGGACCCCTCATTTCAACCCTGTACTACAGATATTCTCCTTTTAAAGTTAAGCCTATTGTAATTTGATTAAAACTACAAAAGGTGTTTGTAATATTGGTCATTTAACTATTGATGCTGTGAATTGGCATCAATTCAGTAGAAAGAATATGTAATCAAGGAAACTCGAGGTAGCTTATATGATAATGATTCTGCAGGTGAGAATTCAGAGTTTCTGCTGATACCACTGTAGCTATGATATGTCAGAATTTTTACCTATATAGGTAGTCCTTGAATTAGACCATTGAGCCCCAAATTTCCATTGCTAAGCAAGGACAGTTGTTAAATGAGTTTTGCCCTGTTTTTATGTTTTCTGCCAGTTGTTAACTGAATCTGGCTTCCCCATTGACTTTGCTTGCCAGATCACAAAATATGAGCAGATGAGTTTTACTTCTGTTTTCTTCTTATTGTAAGCCACCCAAAATAACAGACTGTATGTAAGAGGGGCGGCCAAATCGATTTGGTAGGTAGTTTGTAGGATTAAAATAAATTCAGGCATATACAAAGCCCAGCTCAGAAACAACTGATGCTTGACAGCAGCCAAGACAATCTGACCTCTTTTAATTCACTGCATTTGGGCTGCTTTAGGTTTTGTAGAAGTTTAAGATGCACTTTACACGTCCCGTCCCCCGTCCTCCCCCCTCCCAAAAAAAATGTAGGAGTCTTTTTCTTTTTCCCTTTGCAGTCACATTGCTGCTCCTGAGCTGACTAGGGGGCTCCCTGCCTTCCCTCTTCCCCGGTGAACTGAAGCTCCAGCAGATTTGGAGGAATGAAAAGCAGGGGAAAACAAATATCGAATAAAATGAATATTTAGGTGAAGGAAAAGCAAAGGACAGTTATGCACTGTATTGCGCGGGCACCCCATTTAAATTAATACAATTATTCTTCTGCAGAGAATTCAAGAAAAGAAACGTAAAAGTGATGTGGAATCTAGTTTTAGGCAGGCTGTTTGGCAGCAAGCCTCCGAGCATAGGAGTAATTGGACAAGGGGGAGTAGTTCATCCCAGTCTCAAAGTAAGTGATATACCTATTATAGTCCTCCAGGCTTTTTAGTGCAATACCAAATTCTTCCATTTATTATTTAGAAAACAAAAATACGTTTGGTTTTTTACATAGTTTAGACTGGTATTTTCCAACCTTGGCAATTTTAAGATGTAAGGATCTCAATTTCCAAAATTCTCCAGCTGCATGATAGCTGGGGAATGCTTTTAGAATTGAAGCCCACACATCTTAAATTTGCTATGATTGAAAAAAATCATTTTGTCTGTTGGCCCATTTAGTCCTTTATTGGTGACAATGCCCTTCTATGCAGTCTAGCTGCTGTTGTTCCTTCTTAAAGGGTGGGGGTGGGGGGGGAATAGTCCTTTTGGCTTTTTTTTATAAATGATCCCTTGCAGCTTCTGGTGATGGTGGGTTATTTTTAGTGGGGAGGGAGGGAATTAATCAATCTAGGAAACATAATAATAGTTGTGATTATTCTTGTGATTTTTGAGCCTGGCTACCTGGAGTCACATTACCATGAAACACGAGTACTTTGGGGTTAGTTTAGCTAGGATCTTAATCTGGAAATGGCTGACTGCTGGGTTTGCATGGTACTCTTGATATGTCATTGATTCAGTTAAGTACACCCATCCAATTGGCTGCCAGTAGCTTTCCTGCATCTTGGAAAACTTGCCTGGAGAACCTGGAACTGTCCACATAAATAGCCCCCTTAAGAAGATATATTTTTGTCTAGCTATTTTTACTGAATTGACTTAGCTAATTTCCAGCTTCAGTGTATTTTTCCCATGATAATTTTTGTATGCTTAATTCTTGCTGCTATCAATGAAACCTTTTTTTCACATAATTAACTTTTTACCCTTGCTATTCACATTTTAAATTATATAAATGAGATAAAAGTAATTTGGTGTTTACATTGGAATTTTTGTGTAAGTTTAGATACTCATTGTTTCACTGAGAAATTGTTAAATCTATGCAATTATTAGTAGTTACCAAATCCTGTATCAGTTATTATAAATACAAACCAGATTGCAGTTGCACTCCTTTACTAAACTGCCTTATAATGCTTCAGTCATGTGTCACATTCCTTGCTTGGTATCAGTATCATATTTATGTTTAATAATGAAGACATGAAACTTGATGTATGAAAAGAGCTAAATGACCCTTTTATGGAATAAGGTGCAATTATTTGAAATATGTATTTTAACTGGCTGCAGGTGTAAAGCTGATAAAAGTTACTGGCTAAGCGAGGTCATTTTCACTGACCCCCATGAGTTCTTCAACCTACATGCATTTAAGAAAGCAAATATATTTTCTGGGTTGCTAATAGAATGAAAAGAACTATCAAAAAGAAAAACTTTGAAATTTAAAAGATAATCTAATTGCAAAAATCATGTCAAAGCATTAACTCTGCTTTGGCTTCTTTAACACATTTAACATGTTTCTCCTTCTGACCATCTGACCACCTACCCTCTCTTTTTAATAAAAAGCATGCTTGTATTAAAATCAATAAATCAACAAACCAACAAAAGATCAGTTCTTTTCTTGCTATATTGATTTTGAATAGCCATCTACATTGTGTGCATAATACACTTAGGTCATGTAAATATGCACTTGATGTCCATGTCTCAACTTGAGATGAAAATATAGTGTCTAGATTTTTTTTTCTTTGCAGGAAAGTGTTGAGAAACTTGAGCAAAACGTCTTTGAGTTTGGAAACACAGTTGAAAATTTACTAGTGAGGTTTGGCAAGGTAAACATGACTTATCTATTTGTCTTCTCACTACCGTGTTTCTCACAAAATAAGGCCGGGCCTTATTTTTTTTTTTTTGACCCCCGAAAAAACAGCTAGGCTGTCTTTTCGGGGGTGACTTAATTTCCTCCCCCACCTAGAGTGGCCCATATGCACGTACCTCGCCGCGAGGCTGCTTCTATTGGCCGATGAAAGCTCCCCAAAGGCAGAGTCCCCAGCTGCTTCGGGGTGAGGCGTGGCTGTCCGTGTCCCCTCAACTTTTAGGCAGGTTTTTTCAGGCGCTGGAAGCTCCCCAAGTGCAGTCACCAGCCACTTCGATCAGCTGGTAGAAGCGGCCTCGGGGCGAGCGCATACACACACCCCTCGCCGCGAGGCTGCTTCTACCGGCCGATCGAAGTGGCTGGTGACTGCACTTCGGGAGCTTCCATCGCCCGAAAGAGGGGACATGGGCAGCCTTGCCATGCCCCGAAGTGGCTGGGGACTCTGCCTTCAAGGGAGCTTTCGTCTGCCGATAGAAACGGCCTCGCGGCGAGGGGAGTGTGTGTGTGCGCTCGCCCCGGGGCCGCTTCTACTGGCCGATCGAAGTGGCTGTTTGACTGCACTTGGGGAGCTTCCATCGCCCGAAAGAGACTGCCTAAAGGGAAGGGGACACGGGCAGCCATGCCATGCCCTGAAGCGGCTGGGGACTCTGCCTTCGGGGAGCTTCTATCGGCTATCAGGGTATTCTAGCCTAGGCTACCTGCAGGGCACTCCTAAAGGCAAGTTTTCTCCCCATCCCCCCCAGTTCTCTTCACCTCGTGTAGTTCTAATGAACAATGTGAGAAATGGAGAAACGCATGGTTTTAATAGGCCTAAATTTTGGGGGTGGGGCTTAATTTCACCTCATGCCTAGAAATCATGCTGGGCCTTCCTATTGGTGGAGGCCGTATTGTTGGAGAAACACGGTATTTTCTTGTCACATTCTACTAATCTAGGCAAATTACATGTCTGAAGTTTCCTTCCACTAAAACACTTCCTTAGAACCTACACAAATCAGTTGTTTTCCATAATCTGCCTAAAGACATTTTTCACTAACCATGTATCAGTATGGCAATTTGATGATTACTGTATTTGTTTATAAGCATTACAATTCATGATAGCTAGTGATTCTTAATTACTGTTTTCTTTAATACTAGACTATTGTGGATGAGCAGATGATTCTTAAAAAAGTGGCAAACATTGTCATTAATTTATATGCAATGACTGCAGTCATATCCAGGGCTACCCGATCTATGTGCATTGGTTTGAACAATCATGATCATGAGGTGAGTTTGTTTTGCATCTTAATGTGATGAACTTGAATGACATAATAAAACAGGCACGAGGAAATTCAAATTATTTTTATTTTTAAGTTGAGAACAAAGTTATGTCCAGTTGCAGCATTAAATAAAAATAAAAAATGAATTATCTTGTCATTTCTGTGACAAGATGATTTTGTAAAAAAGATCAGATTCTTGCTTTGATTCTCCAGTGCATTAGCATAATTTTGAAATAATTTGGCATATCCATGGTAATTTTCTTATGATTACAAAAAGCTAAATGGAACCCCATGTACAAAGTTTGCAAGTAGATGTTGGAGATGAACAGAAATGACTACTGCTTACCGTGTTATATTTGATTATCCTGCCTTCACTAGTATATGATCCACAAAAGGCTTGTAACAATGAATTAGCAAAATAATTATTCTTCCTCTAGAATTTAGATACTGAAATCTGTATGTCTTAAAAGGACAAAAACCAATGTTTCAGACTGATTGTCAGATTACAAAACCAAACATTGAACAAAGTGTAAAAAAATTAAAGAATTTCTTCAGAAGATTTGAATTTATTGTTAGATTCTGATTATTGTACAGGCAACTAATATAAAAACTCTTCTATTAATCTTTCAAGCTTCGGTCATGGAGTTAGTCAGCCGTGAGGTAACAAGCAACGTGAAGCTGAGAGGGAGGGGGAAGAGAGAGAAAGTCAGTTTCTATTGCTAAGCAGATATACGGTGTAGCGAGAGTGCAATAAGCTGATTTTGTGTCCAAACCATGTATATCAGGAGTTGATGATTATATTAAAATTCTTGAAGTACACTTAGGAACAGCATTCAAACTGCTAATAACTGATTTCTAGGTGCTGCTTGCAAATATTTTCTGCACTGAAGCTTGTTTTGAGAATAATTACACAATGGTATCATTACAAAAAGGTAAGTGTACAATTGAATTCAGTATTGCTACTTCAGCTGTAACAAAGTATCTTTAAAAATCCTTCAACTAAAATTTTATTCCTGGTGATTTCATGGACATGACATTTTGTTGCCATTGCTGTGAAGATGGCTTATTATTGTCTTTACTGATTTTTTTTTGGGGGGGGGGGGGGGCACAGTGGTGGGATTCAGCCAGTTTGCACCACTTTGGGAGAACACTTCTGAGCAGTTTGACAAACTGGTTGTTGGAAGAAATAATTAGGGCAGAGAACCGGTTGTTAAATTATTTGAATCCCACCACTGGGTTGTGGGGGGGAGCTTCTGGATTTGGCCTGTTGATACCCTTTGAAAATCTTCAATCCAATTACTAGCCAGATCTGATTTTGCTCTGCTTCTGCGCCTAGATTGGCCAGTTCTGACAAAATGGTCTGACAAAATTATGTGATTTGTGATTTTGGGACCATCAGTATTTGGGAACTTACTGTCTTTGGTTCTAGATGGGTGGCACTGACCCTGGGCATAATCTGGGGATCCTTATGGATTCACAACTCCTGCTCAATGAGATGCTAGCAGTCCTAGGAGACCCTTTGAGCAACTTCAGGTTGTATACCAGTTGAGCCAATTCTTCATCAGGAAGCTCTACAATCGCTCATATGGTCAGCTCCTGCATAGATTACTGAAATCTTCTGTATATGGGGCTGCCCCAGAAGGTTCAGCTTGTGCAAAAAGCAGTGGTGTGAGCACCTACATCAGAGCATGTTTTCACTTTTGCTCTCCAAGCTGCATTGATTAGCAGTATGCTTTCCAGGTTCAATTCAAGATGTTTGATAATCACCCCTTAAAGGCATAGGGGGCTGGGTTATTTGAGGGACTGCCTTTCTCCGGTTGCATCTACCCATCCCATCAAGTCTAGCAGCAGGGGCAAGTTATTGGGTCCAATCCACTAAGGAATGTCAACTGATGGGACTCAGGAGGAGACCCTGTTCTGCCATGGCACCCCCTCGCTGAAACGTTTTCTCCCCTGAAGTCACATTGGCCTTCCGGAAGGGCCCATAATTACCATCTCCTGGGGAGTTGGCAGTAGTTGTGTGGAGCCTGCTAAAAGGTTATATGGGTATTCTTTGTTTAGCAACTGTCTTATATAGCAACCGTTTGCACTTATGAGTTAATGGAAAAGTAACTTTGCGACTAATCTTTGTGTTTATGATACAGACCATGTTTTTTTAACAATTCTTGTTTCAATATTTTAAAGCTTTTTGTTATGATTTGGAGGGGGGGCTTGAGTTTGTGTGTTTTTAACTTGTAAGCTTCCCAGAGTCGTGTATGTAACTCATCTAAATTGATCAAATACATCAATAAAATTGTCACCCCTCTAAGGTGTCAACAGAATAGTAAATACTTGTTAAAGCCAACCCGCTGAAGCTGAAATAGTACTACTGCCGCCCTTTCTAAAACATGCCGTTAATATATCTTAAGTTCGAGCAAAGCAGGTTTTTCATTCTTCCACGTAATGAAGAATACAGGTAGTCCTCGACTTACAACAGGTTCACTTAGTGACCAGTCGAAGTTACAACAGCACTGAAAACGAATGATCACCATTTTTTGCACTTAGGATCGTTGCAGCATCCCCATGATTTACATTTGGAGGCTTGACCACTGACTCACATTTATGATGCAGTGTCTCAAGGTCATGTGAATCCCCTTCTGCAACCTCCTGACAAGCAAAGTTAATGGGAAAACCAGATTCACTTAACATCCGTGTTACTAATTTAAAAACTGCAGCAATTCACTTAACAAATGTGGCAAGGAAAGTCGAAAAATGGGGCAAGACTCGCTTAACGAATTTTTCACTTTAGAAACATAAATTTTGAGCTCGATTGTGGTCATAAGTTGAGGATTACCTGCATGCACTTGTTGCTAGCCGCTCAGTAGCTTGTCTCGTTTCTCATTTAGATGTGTCTTTAAAGGATCAATTGCTTTTGTTTCCATTATCTCTAGATTCTCCTGAAAACCTGGATGAGGACATTAAAAAAGTGGCAAATCAAGTGCTGGAAAAAAGATCTTATATTTGTTCGCACCCCCTAGATAGGACTTTCTGAAAGCTGAAAAATATTACTAGAGCCAGAGAACATAGTAACTGAATGTATTCCAACTGGATCCTCGGGTATATTCTTTGATGTGAGGCAAAATGCATAACTAATAACATACACGGTTTCATATTTTACAGTGCAATTTTATAAAATACAAATAAAGTAATAAATTACATAAGCCTGCTTCCAGTTGATGATAAACTATCAATCTCTCTATCATCCATCCATCCCTTCCTCTCTTCTCTCTTTCCCCCCTCAGCATTAGAAAGTACAGTCTATGGTCACTGTATGATACTAAAAATATAGATTCCCAATGTTTTTCTTTATGGAAAAAATTTGGAACAAATACATAGTGTGTGTGTGTGTCTGCACGCGCGTGTGCAGATGTTACACAGATGTCCATGCATGCACATATTTATTCATATATTTCTTTCTCTCTCTCTCTCTCTCTCTCTCTCCCCCGCCCTTCCTCCCTCCCCCCCTTCCAGCCTTATTCACACAGCACTATATAGGTCGCTTAACTGTCCACCAACCTGCTTGCAAGCCTTCTGGGACTTGTGATTTTCTGCTGGCTTCGTCATTGACTTTGCTTGTTGAAACCAACAGGAACTCACAAGTTATGATCAAATGAGGTTTAACATTTAATGAGGCACAGCCCACCAATGCAATAGGGACTGTCTAGATTTCTATTGCTATTGCTATGGTCACATGATGTTGCAATTTAATGGGTGCATCACTGACTGACAGAAATTCCTGTCCCAATTACCATCATAACTCAAGGACTACCTGTAAATAAAATATTACCAGTTCGTTTCTAGGGTACAGCACCTTTGGCCAATTCTTTTGCATGTACACTACCTACAATTATTCCGACATTACCTGCATTCTCTGTTTCATCCTTTGCTGAGACATGTTCCTTTAAGCACGAATCCTGTGGGGAATACCTCTTGTAATGATATGAACGATTCTGACAAATTAGTCTAGGACAAAAAACACACCCAATGGTTAGACTAGAAGAAACATACCTCGAAGAGAATAAGATGCTAAATGTTCAAGTTTGGATGGAGCAAAATCAAATGAAGTGCTGGCTTGAGACACGATGGCGTAAATTCTCTCCAAAAAAGAGATCTTTACATCAATCAAAGCTTTCTCATTTTTAAAAATAATTTTATTAAAGAATTTTTAATGCAATTTTTTTAAAAAAAGAAAAATAAAAGTGAAGAAAAGTGGTAAGTAAATAAGGAAGAAATAAAAGGGAGAAAAAGAACAAATAATATATACCATGTGGCTTCCATTCTTCTTTACATCAGTCATAAATGCATTTATATTTTATCCTCTTAAGATTACATAATGGTTTCTTTTCCATATTCTTCCCTTTCTAATCATCAAATCCATAAATCACAAGTTTTCTTTTTCATTTTCAGCAAAAAGTCCCTGAAGAAAACTCTTTATTTTTCCAATCACAAATACAATGATTTAGTCCCAAAGTTGCTTTTTGTAGAGGCAACTGTATCTTCTTGTTTTTTTCTTTGAATACATTTCACTTCTCATCCAAGAAGCTTCTTCAGCTCTAACTGGATTGGTGGGGAATGGAAGGATTTTTACTCCTTGCAGACAGCTGGTCATTTGCACCCTTTTAGAGAGTCACTGAGGCCACTTGGAGGTTTATCTCTCTTCAGGGTCATCTGAGTAGTGCAAATCAGTGTGGAACACAGATAAGCCTCCAGGTAGTCTTAACAGACTCTCTAAAAGAATCAAATGACCAGCTACTGCAACGAGTATAAATCCTTCCATTCCCCACGATTCAATCAGAGCTGAAGAAGCTTCTTGGATAAGAAGCGATAAGAAAGAAAAACCAGAAAGTCCAGTTGCCTCTTGAAACAGCACTTTGGGGACAACCATGACCTGGATGACCGAGAAACCCCATATATCATATATTTAGAATAAAAGTGGTATATAGGATGTGCATATGTGTTTCAACAGAAAAAGAACAAAGAAAAGCCTGCTTCATCACTGCAGGATCTGGAATATTCAAGATTCATGGTCACCAAGGAAGCCTGGCCTTGGGAGCCTGATCTGAATAGATTACGTGGACATTAGACCAGCACATCTTGCCTTAGATTCTGGATTACAGAGGAACAAGGTTTAAATTTCTTCTCTTTTGTTGTAGTGATCCCTTGACTAAATCCTTTCTATTTGTAACTCTATTCAAGATCATACACATTCGTTGTTTTTTTTAACTGATTTGCTGATCTGTCGGGTGACACACCTGAAATCTGCTCCTTTCAGAGCTTTAAATGAATCGTGTGCCCTGTCGTAGCACGGAATATTGTGGTTTGATATCAAGCTTCGGTGCATGTCTCCACCAGGAACAAATCCTTTACAGGGACTTCTCTCTCCCATGTTATTATCTAAAACTCCCAGAACTGGAAAAGACTAAAATGAGAAAGATTGGGATTTACAAGAATGCTGTTTAATTTACTTTTTCCTTAAAGAGCTTTAGCAAAAAAATATGTTAGAAGATTGTAGCTATACAATATATATCGGTAACAACTTTGGATTATTTCAGCAGGCAATGATGATAAAAATATTTTGAATTAAAATTTTGAGCATCCTCACTGGTACTGAGATACAAAATATTTTGTCAAACACGTGAAATCCATATGCAGCATATTATCCAATATGAGACACAAATAGAGTGGAAACAGATGCTTATAAAAGGTTTGCAATTTTCAGTAATAGATTTTATTTATTAACTTTTTTATGCTGCCTATCTCTCCTCTAAGACAACTCTGGCAGGTTACACATTATAAAAAGATAAATAGAAAAGTTATTTAAAATAGCAATAGCACTAGACTTATATACCACTTTACAGTGCTTCACAGCCCTCTCTAAGCAGTTTACAGAGTCAGCATCTTGCCCCCAACAACTTGGGTCCTCATTTTACCCACCTCAGAAGGATGGAAGGCTGAGTCAACCTTGAGCCTGGTGAGATTTGAACTGCCAAATTGCAGTCAGCCGGCAGTAAGCAGATGTAGCCTGTAGTGCTGCACTCTAATCACTACACCACCATGGCTCAAAATATTAAAATTATGCAATTAAAATTTTAAAACTATACAAAAACCAGGATCTTTACCTGCATCTTCAGAGATAACTTGAATGGTTTATCCTTCAGGAGACCCTGAAGGCGAGCAATTTGACAGCTGGCTTTGGGTCCACTAGATATAAGCTCTGTTGCTGGGCAGCACCGATGAACTTTCAGTGCAGTATTAAAATACGCTTGTATCGTAGGCTCTTTTGTTCAGATGCGCCAGTTGAACAAGGACACAGGAAAGACATTGTAAGAAGCGTATCAATCAGATTACTTACATCTGAATAACAATTCTGTTACTTCATTCAATTCCAATTTAATTTTAATAGAATTTCTGATTTAATTCTGGAATTAGATCTAGAATAAATGTGGGATACTATAAAAATCTAGAAAATAGTAGCAACAGGGCAACATAATACATTAAATGTATTTCCACATTTAGCCCCATATTCTGCTCCTCATATTTTAATGAACAAACCATAATCTCCTTAAATTAGATAAGAAACCCTAATATAAGACATTGTATAAAACATTGTAGATCCCTTTACCCCAACGTAAGACTCTTAGGGAAACATTATCTATTCATTCTGATCTTTGTCTATATCTATCAATCTATATCTGTCTGTCTGTCTGTCTGTCTGTCTGTCTGTCTCCAGCCAGCCATCTATATCTATATCCATCCATCAACTATCATCTCTTTCTATCGCCATCTATTATCTATTGTCAACCCTTAAGCTGACCTGACTGAGGCCATTTTGAGGCTTCAGTATTGCCACACTGGAGCTGAGGGAAAGGGGGAATAGAGATATTTGGGGTTTGTAGCCAAAACAAAATACTTTCTCCTGGGAACCAAGGACATTCCCACAGGTGGTCGGAGAGAGGAGTGAATTTACCAGGCAATTGGACAACACCTTGATTGGACCATGTGACTAATTGTTTGGGAGAGGAGGAAAACTTTAACTTTTAATTAGGTGAAATTGTTAAATGAATCTGGCTTCCCCATTGACTTTGCTTGTCAGAAGGTCGCAAAAGGGGATCATAGCAACGGTCATAAATATGAACCAGTTGCCAAATATCTTAATTTTAATCACATGTTCATGGAGATGCTGGAAAGGTTGTAACTGTGAAAAGCAGCCGTAAGTCACATTTTTCAGTGTCATTACAACTTCAAACAGTCACTAAACGAACTGTTGTAAGTCAAGGACAACCTGTACTAAGCAAAAGCTACCTTTTTCCAACTTATCTAGGCCTAAATAAGTTTCTTTGGTGATGTTCAATGTTGGCTGTTCACTAAACTCAGATTAATATAATTAACTTCAGTCAAAACTGACCAGTAAATATTCTCTGTAATCATATACAGGTAGAGTTCGACTTGCAATAGTTCACTTAGTAACCATTCAAAGTTACAATGCCACTGAAAAAAGTGACTTATGACCCTTTTGACAAGCAAAGTCAATGGGGAAACCGGGTTATTAACTTATCAATTGCAGTGATTCACTTAACAACTGTGGCAAGAAAGGTTGTGAGATGGGGGCAAAACTCACTTAACAACTGTTTCACTTAACAACAGAAATTTTGGGTTCAATTGTGGCCGTAGATCAAGGACTACCTGTACCTGATTTGGATTTGTAGGCAGGTATAACTATTTAAATATCTAGAGCCGCCCTGGAATGGAATCGAGTGCCTACCTTCTCTACGAGTGTCAGGAGCTGGGTTTTGAAATACAGGCTTTCGGTAAAGCTCAAAATCAGCATCCCGTTTGTCCCATCTCCATCTATCCCGATCCAGAACTGGCTTCATAAAGTTAGCATTGAAAAAGTTCTCCTGCCATTTCTAAATGAAGTAAGGAAACATAATAAATGTATCTATTTTATTTATATCTTTATTATTTCTACAAATAACTTAAGGGGGCAAACATACTCTAATACTCCTTCCAACTCCTGCTGGCTGTTGCCCAGCTGGCTTTTGAATTAAAAGTCCTATAAATGTCCCAAAACATGTAAAAAGGTAAAGGTTCCCTCGCACATACGTGCTAGTCGTTTCCGGCTCTAGGGGGCTCATCTCCATTACAAAGCCGAAGAGCCAGTGCTGTCCGAAGACATCTCCGTGGCCATGTGGCCAGCACGACTAAATGCTGAAGGCACACAGAACGCTGTTACCTTCCCACCAAAGTGATCCCTATTTTTCTACTTGCATTTTTACATGCTTTCAAACTGCTAGGTTGGCAGAAGCTGGGTTACGTAACAGGAGCTCACTCCATTACACGGTGCTAGGGATTCGAACCACCAAACTGCCAACCTTTCTGATCGACAAGCTCAGCATCTTAGCCACTGAACCACCGCGTACATGTACATGATGTACAGCAATATAAAATTTCCCTATTTATCCCATAAAATGTGCTTATTGCCTATTCATTACTATTGTCTTATATGCCGATCGGTCTTTTTACCTGCAAAGTGTGTCAATGACACCAAGCATCTTGAATGCCTTTCAAGTTCAGAAGAGCCTGATTGGTGATTTGAAGCAGCTTAAAATTATTAACTATTTTTCCTTGGCCGTGTGTGTGTGTGTGTGTTTTCAAAAGTTGCTTTTCCTTGCCTCCTCCCTAGGGGGCTAAGAGGGAGTGACTGACCCAAATTTATCCAAGTGGCTCTGTACCAGGTGGGACTACAACTCCCAATCTCTTAACCATGTTGTATTTTGTTTTGTAGTGTAGTTTATGTATGTATACATTTGTGTGCCTATATAGTATTTTGTGCATGTGTGTGCGCGCGCAGACACACATATATAGATATTCTGTCTACTCTATGGAGGAAGGGGGCAGTCACCTCAGATTAAAAATCATCTTTCTTTTAGTTTTTGGCAATATCTTTGCCACAGGTTGATTTAAAGCAGAAACATGGGAAAATCAAATAATGATGTTCAAAAAGCTTTCAAAAAACAAAACTACTGACATCTATTTAAATTATACTACTGGTATTCAAAACCTTTTGGACCACCTCTCAATTATCGTTAGTTCTTTTTATCACTGTTTATAATTGTCCACCATTTTAATACACAAGTACCCTGTCAAATTTATATAAGTCAAAACATGCATTGGGCAACAGAAATAACATGTTAGAATAAATGATTTCTATACACTATTATTGAAGAACCTTGAAATGACTATTACCCTGATGCAAATCAAAATGTTTATTTTCAGGAAGTTTTAGAAAATCTGTGGTGAGCAGTAAACTCCCTGTTCTATAGAAAATAGAAGTTTTGAATAAAGTGAATGGCTTTCATCTGGGATAGGGGATGGGAAAGAAAATGCACCAGCAATTGCCGACATGGGTGCCATGGCCACTGTAAAATAGCATCGTGCAAGTGAAACAAAAACAATATTAGAGAAAAGGAGAAAATATTTTATTATTTAACAGATATATATGGCTGCCAATAATCTAACTCTCCTCAATTTAAGGATCTTCCATATCTTTCATGGAAGGATCCAGACAACAGCCTTTGGTCCTGAGCGATTATAATCATACATCTAATGAAAATACCAATTAGATTGTGGAGATGTTCTTATATGTTTAACAGCATAAACCTAGGTATGTTTACCCACACACTGTGTTTACCCAAAAATAAATACTGAGTTCACTGAATCTTTTTCCTAAGAAAAACAACAAAATATTTGTCTAAATCTTAATATCTCTGTATATAGTACTATCTGAAGAATTTGAAATTAAATAATATAAAAACAGCTCATTGAAGCAGCAAGCCACTCCCTTTTCTTTATCCCTCCACTTAAGTAGGTGATTGAAGTGAAACAAAATTCAGGTGCAGTGTAAAGTATAGCTGTTCAAAACATCCGATAGCTCTCAAGGTTAAAAATAATTAGCCAGTATTTTTAAAAATCATTTTATTTTAGCAACTTTCTACACCACCATTCAGAGGAAGATGGTAACCTTTTAAAAGATGCACCCTGTTCACAAGAGTAAGGGAAACAAAGAGAGACTTAGTAAATGTCCATTGGGCTCTAAATGTTAAAATGCTACATTACATTTAGGGATAATATCAGTCCAAATCAAGCATAACCTGATAAGCACCTGCTGTTGATCAGCTTCTCTGCAGAAATATGCCTTTTAACCTCACAAAAAAAAAGATCTACCAGTAACATTGGAGTGAGTTTCAAGTCTACATTTAGACTGCAATTAATCTGGCCTGGAACAAATATCAATTCTTGAATTTTCCTCACAGTGTAGCAATGAAGCATGCTGTTCTCCCATGAGCTGTTCAGAGCATCCAGTAGTGGGAGGTGCTTCAGTCTCTGCATGTCTAGGCTGGGCTTAATTTGTGGAATGCTCCTCCTCCTCCACGGGACTCCTCCCCAGGGTTCCCCAGTTTTGGCTCAGCCTCGTGAGAGATAGGCAGTGCTTGTGAGGATTCTTCCTTGGCCGAAACAGGAAAAATTCTTTCCTTGCTAGCAGGTTTGAAAGTTAATCAGCTTGTCTTTAGAATCCTTTAGCCTTCTAATCGCATTGCGATCTCTCGACGTTGGCTCACATTACAGAGATCGTTCGCATTACAGGGAAGTGCCAATTCGCGCCCCAAAGCGGCGGGAGGCTTCGGCGCTGCTCCACGCCCCCTCCCCACAAACGATCTTTCTACTCCTGCCATTCCGATAGATTGCCGCAGAGTTTCTTTTACCCAAACAGCGGCGTGAGCTCTTTGCTCACAACGGAGTCGTGTCGCTTTCCTTCGCCCTGTGAACGCCACTTGGGGTGGAGGATTCAAACGCTTAGTGCCTTCCACCCTTCCCCGCCGTTTAGCCTTACAGGAAAAGCCATCGGAGGCTATTCCTTCACACGGCGCGAGTTTGCTGCTGGACACGTCCTCATGTCCATAGACCTGACGGAGGCGTACCTACATATTGCTATTCGGCCTTCCCACTATAAATTTATGAGATTCTGTTATAATAACCACCATTTTGAATATGTGGCCCTTCCTTTCGGACTAGCTTCTGCCCCCAGGACCTTCACGAAGGTTCTCGCAGCGCTAGCTGCTCATCTCCGTGATATCCCCATATGACTCCAGTGTTATCTTGATGACATCTTGATTTTGTCATCTTCCACTCATCAAGCAGTCAAAGATACTCAGAACACATTACAATCCCTACAACAACACGGGTTCTCAATAAATTGGAAAAAGAGTCATTTAACACCAACGACTCGGTTAACCCATCTGCGGGCAGTCATAGATACAGTGGAAGGCAAAGTTTACCTGTCACCAGATAGACTAAATAGCATTCAGCAATTAGTCAAGGAGATCAGGGGTCTTAAGAGGGTGTCCCTAGCAGAACTATCAAAATTGTTAGGCAAGATGATCTCATGTATCTCTATCATCCCTTGGGCCTGGCTCCACACTAGATCCCTCCAGTGGTTCCTGCTCCCATGCCAGCGCTCCGGCCGAAGCAACTCCAAATACAAGGTCAAGGTACCATCAAAGGTCCTCATATCTCTCCTCTGGTGGACCAGACCAGTCATCGACAGAGGCTGCCTCTTCAAAGAGCCACACAGACTTACCATCACCACTGATGCCAGCCTGTTTGGATGGGGAGTGCACGTTCAATCACTCACAATCCAAGGCCGCTGTTCCACCATAGAACAGTCGTGCAACATAAACTGGCTGGAGCTTCAAGCAGTACACCTGGCTCTCCGCAGCTTCCTTCCACAGGTACGCAATCAGCACATACTAATATTGACCAACAACGTAACAGCCAAAGCTCACATAAACAAACAGCACACAGCACACAGTCGAAAAATCTCATGCGAGAAGTGGAGCGCTTGTGTCGTTGGGCGGAGAGCAACCTACTTTCCATCAGAACAGAGCACATTTCGGGTCTGTCGAATACACAGGCAGACTGGCTGAGCAGGGCCACGATCGATCAATCGAAGTGGCGCCTCCATCCGACCCTGTTTCAAGAGGTGGTCAGGACATTTGGACAGCCGGTGATGGACTTGTTCACTTCCCCCCTCAACGCTCAGCTCCCGAGATATTTTTCCAGGTACCCCTCGCAAGGAGCAGAGAACTTCAATTCACTCCGCTGTCGTTGGCCCCCGGGACTTCTGTATGCATTCCCACCACTTCCACTGGTTCCCAAGGTCATCCAGAAACTGCTAGACGAGAAGGCGGAACTACTTCTAGTAGCTCCTTACTGGCCCAGACGGCCGTTTGCAGACCTCCGCAGTCTATCCCTATCAACACCATGGAGAATTCCGCCAGCCAGGGTCTCGCTAACCCAGGGACCCCTTCAACATCCGGACCCTCAATGGTTGCATCTGACCGTCTGGAGGTTGAGCGGAGTTGTCTGAAGAACGAAGTTTTCCAACAGTTATCGCCACTATCCAAGCCGCCAGACGCCCTCAACAACTCGCATTTACATGCCACATGGTCCAGTTTCTGCAAATGGTGTACCGAGTCTCGAATTGATCCCATCTCTCCATCTGTGGCTCAAATCCTAGAGTTCTTGCAAGAGGGACTTGACAAGGGATTATCACCTAATACGTTGAAAAGACAGGTGGCGGCCTTGGCGTCAGTTCTCACTTGTGAAGGTCTACTATCTTTTTCCCATCATCCACGCATACGGAGTTTCCTTCGAGAAGCCACAAATTTACGCCCTCCAGCGGTACACCGTTATCCCACCTGGGACCTTAACAAGGTCCTCGTCGCACTCACTAAGCCCTTTCGAACTCTTGAAATCGTCAAGTCTCCAATTTCTGACGTATAAAGTAGTTTTCCTTGTAGTGATCATTTCTGCTCATCGTATTTTGGAGATTGCAGATCTTTGTCTATCAGACAAGATCTTTGTGTTTTCCATTCTGACCTGGTGGTCCTTTGTCCTGATCCTACGTTTATACCCAAAATTAACTCGGTTCTTCATAGGGCACAAGAGCTGATACTTCCTAGTTTTTGTCCCAGACCATCCCAAGGTTGGAACTACAATAGCATAGGCTTGATGTGAGGCGAGCATTGCGAATATATATGAACCGCACAGCGGCTTTCAGAAAAACGGAAGCCTTATTTGTGTCGTTTCAGCCCAACACTCAGGGATGCAAGGTCTCACCTTCTACAATAGGGCGTTGGCTACGGGCCGCGATAGCGAAAACGTATCAGACTCAATCCCTGCAGGTGCCTAGGGGCATAACAGCTCATTCAACAAGGAGCGCCGCAACATCGGCAGCGTGGGCCACACAGGCACCAATAACTGAAATTTGTCGAGCCGCATCCTGGGCCTCTCCATCACCATTCATTAGGCATTATAAAATAGATGTGTTTGCATCCGCTGAGGCCTCCTTTGGCAGAAGAGTTCTGCAACGGGTCCACAGGGACCAGAAGGAGATTCCAGGCCAGACGGAGTCCCTCCCGTAGGACAGGCCAAGCTTTGGTATGTCCCACTACTGGATGCTCTGAACAGCTCATGGGAGAAAGGGCATTGGTACTTACCTGACACGCCCGTTCTCTTTGAGCTGTGAAGAGCGTCCAGCCCCACCCTTTTTCCGTCTGGTGGGGTCCTGTTTCGGCCAACGAATTGTTAGGGCATTGAGGACGAGGGCGTTTATTTCTCTCGTCTTCACCAAAACTGGGGAACGCTGGCGAGGAGTCCCGGGGAGGAGGAGGAGCGTTCCACAAATTAAGCCCAGCCTAGACATGCAGAGACTGAAGCACCTCCCACTACTGGATACTCTTCACAGCTCAAAGAGAACGGGCGTGTCACGTAAGTACCAACGCCCTTTCCTAGTAGAACATAAATATGACAAGTTGATAGGAATCTAAAATTTATAATTACCTCTCTTAATTCAATAACTCGTGCCTCATCAGGCTTACGGGGATGTTTGTTGCAGTCAGCGGTGCTCTTAAATCCAGGATATGAAAACCCTCCAGGATACAACCACATTTTCTTTGATTGTTGAATACGCTCTTTTAAAATGCTGTCTTCATCCACTGGGTCAAACATACCTGACAGATATTCATTGTAAGCAAATCTTTTTCCTGGCATCTAAAAAAAGCATATACATATATATAATTATGTATGGTATTCAGCTTTGTTTGAGTATTTTCCCACGTCATCATAGTTGTGCTTTTAAAGTTGTAGCAACGTTTCGGCAGAATCTCATCTGCCATCATCAGGCTTCTGTATTGTGTTTGTCTGTCAGTCAGACTTTCATTCTGGCACAGCAGTAGGCTAGCCCCAAATTTAAAACTGAAACGGCTGTGAAAGTCTGACTCACAGACGAACACAATACAGAAGCCTGATGATGGCAGATGAGATTCTGCCGAAACGTTGCTACAACTTTAAAAGCACAACTATAATGACGTGGGAAAATACCCAAACAAAGCTGAATACCATACATATAAATACCCGCGAAAACTTTAAAAAATATATAATTATAGTTATATATGCACACATACATATTTCGCCCCCCCCAAACTCCAGTGGAATTCATCATAGACCAATGCAGAGAACAGCCTTCTCCAACTTGCTGTCATTCATACTGAAATCCTCATTGCTTCTCAACCAACAAAGTCCAAATGTCTAGAATATAGTACTGGTCCCAACATATCTGGACACTATCATGTTTGGGTGCCTTTGTCTGACTCTGTATTCACTGAAGTAAATTCAAAAACTGTTAACAAAGCTTAACACTTTCACTTTCAAACATGAGGCAGGTGAATATGAGTGATCTATTTTTATCTCATCCCCAGAAAACTACTATTCTTTACACTTTTTTAAAGCCACTTTTCTCCCCTCTCTCCTCACTGAGGCAGCCCAAATTTTAAGGACCACTAGAGGCACATCACTATCCAGGGCTCTGCTCTCCAATTTGGAATTTCATCCGTCCTGGAAAAACATGCCCAGACATTTCGACTTTTCCATGTACATTTCTTGGAAAAAACGTAAAATAAGTGAATAAAAGACAAATCTTGTTTCCTTGCCTTTGCCATTTCTTGTTGAAGTAGCTTCTTTGCAATTTCAGCTGAATTTAAAGTCTGAGAACTATAGTTAAAGATAGCATTTTCACCAAAAGGGAAAGCTCTGATAGTTCTCGGGATTTCTCGTTCAAGTATTTCATTGAGGAAGTTCACATATTCAATATTAGTCTGAAAGATATATAAACATGCAAAATTACTACTAGCTTTGAATGCATTCCTTTCCCTACCCTACGTCTCCCACCCAAAATATATTAATTACTCTGGAAAATGTCAGTAATTAGGTTGGCAAATACAGAGCACATTTCAATTAAGCTTTAAAATAGTAAATTAAAATTAAGCCAACTTTCTGAAAGAGGACTTCCTAAGATGCTATCTTAAAGGCAACATTAAAGGCAGGCAACTGAAAAGTAGAAGCCCAATTCTATTTGTGAATGAACGTTGTCTTGTTAGCTGCTAGCAGCCAATCACTTTTAGTTAAGATAGCAATTCAGTTGTAACAACGTTAGTTGTGATATCATGTTAGAAGTAAATGGCTAAGTTAAAATAAAAATCACAAACGGTTCTAAAAGCAATTCTTCAAACATTTGCAATAATTGGATAGTACTTTATAACAGGGGTCCCCAACCCCTCAGACGCAGCCCACTACTGGGACGCAGCCTATTTGAAACCTGGCCACGCAAGCGATGGGCAAGCAGGGGTCATGTGCAAAGGCACTTTCACACATCCTCTTCACACCAGGCTAAGCCACCAAGGTGGAAAGGTTGGGGGCCGCTGCCTTATAAGACAACTATGCATGCCTAAGTGATGGAGAGTACTTCCCTCTTTTAAGCTGGCATCTTATGAATCATCAGGCCTAGCATAATTAGGCTAAACACAAAACCTCAGACTTGTTTTCTGAGAAAATACTATTTTCAGGATGCAATTGCTTCCATAACAAACAAAAATACCAGTAGCTTACCCTTCAATTACAGGTAGTCCTCGACTTACAACCACAAATTTATGTTACTAAGTGAAATTTGTTGCCCCATTTTATGACCTTTCTTGCCACAAGTTGTTAAGTAAACCACTACAGTTCTTAAGTTTAGTAAGACTTTAAGTGAATCTGTTAAAGTGAATCTGTCTTTCTCATTGACTTTGCTTGTCAGGTCAAAAAAGATGATCACATGACCCCAGGACTATGCAACGGTCATAAATATGAGTGGGTTGCCAAGCATTCGAATGTTGATCCTGTGATCATTCACACTTATGAAAAATGGTCATAACTCACATTTCAGTGCTGTTATAACTTTGAATGGCCACTAAATGAATAGTTGCACATCAAGGACTGCCTGTAGAAAAATAACTGTGATGACCCTGGGGCGGGGCACAAAGGCAACACAGTCAAATAAGTAAGAATTTTCCCTTTAGTACCTCCAACTTTGCCCCCAATGTCCAGGTTACCTTCGGCTGGAGAAAAAACTGTCCCAAGAACAGTCTTTAAAGTGGAGGAAATTCAGTCCGAAAACAAAGTACATACAAACTGCAAATAAAAATCCACACAAACCATGCTGCAGTAATTAACTTGACAGGGCAGGAAACGGAATTGCAGACTTGAAAGCCCAGCAAAACACACACAGTTGGGAAGACGCCAGGAACCCAGACAAGCTTTGACGATACCAGATAATTCACGATTTGCTCCCAATAACTTTGCTGTGCGCACTTCCCTTTTAAAACACTGTGTTCCCAGCTGCAGCTAATGAAGGGAATCATGGCCCTTTCCTCCCCCATAAGTCACACAACTCACGTTGCTCCCTTCTCCGTTCCTCCTTGTGTGCCCTAGGATGAAGAGGGGGTGGGCCTGGGTCTTCCTCCGAATTCCCTCTCCCTTGCTCTACCTCACCCCTGCTCTGCCCAGCCGGCCTTTGCCCTTCCCCAGTTTCTTCCACAGCCAACAGAGCCACACTCCCACTCCCTGTCAGCTGCTCAGCTTCCCCCTGTGAATCAGATTCCAACAGGGGCATGACAATAACCCTCTGAATGTCTGACCAAATAGGATGATGTGGTTGATGCCTGCACTAGTTTTAGCTCACAAGAAGAGTAACTGGATACAGAAATAATTCACTAAATTATTCCAAAATCCATTAAGATTGAATACAGATTTATCTAAGTTCCATGTAATGGATACATTACTGTTTCATGGGCTCTAATCTGCACGCTTAAGGAAGCAGTCTAGACTTACAGCCTAGAAGCAGTGCTAAAAGTAGTAGCACTCAACTTACAGTCACAACTGAGCCTGGAACTGCTGTCATTAAGAGATGCAATTCCTGGGTGAGCAATTCCCAATTTTACGATCTTTTTTTCTAAGCACATCAAGGGAATCTGTCTTCCCCACTGATTTAGTTTGTCAGACATTCCCGGGGAAGGTCAAAAATGGTGTTCACCAGGATGCTGTAATCATCATAAATACATGCCGGTTGCCAAGTATCCGAATTTTAATCACATGACCACGGGCACACTGCAACAGCTGAGTGAAGACCGATTGTAAGTCCCTTTTTTTCAGCATCACTCAAACATCATTAAAGGTCATTAAACAAATGATTGTAAGTTGAGAACTACCTGTATGTACAGCTATACGTATTAAAACAACAAGGAATCTGCATAACAGAAGCTGGCATTTGGTGATCAGCCCTACCCAGCATCGCCAAAAATTCACCTTAATAAAATCTGTACAAGTTGCCAATTCTTTCTGCAAGGCAATTTTCACTGTTGCATTTCACCCACCTGGATATAGTTATGTGGTGCCTGACTTTCTTGTTCCTTTTTTCTCAGTACATACTTCTTATTGTAGTTATCCAAATGAGAATACTGTCTCATGCTTGAATGCTTTTCCATTTTATTGTATGTTTCCAAGACCTCTGGGGGCTCCCTTACATACATGTCAGCTTTAGTCAAGGGAACTCCAAATTCCTGACTCAACACTGTAATCATTTCTGATGAAGGCAAGAGACTGTAATGGACCACTTCCCTTAACTTCTTACTGTGGCAGATGAAATCAAGTCTACGGCGTGAAGAAAGAAAATGAACTGAAGATCAGCGTTGTAATTTAAATAAGGGAGCTATTAATTTGATTTTAACTTTACTACTGTTTTAAATTTTTTGCCTTAACGGTACTATTAAAATCCAGATTGCATTCTTTTTAATAAATAAATCACATAGCAACAGTTTACTTTGGACAAACAATCAGAACAGTGAAACCAAACAAACTGACAATGGATATACGCAGGGATGGGATTCAAATTTTTTAACAACCGGTTCTGTGGGTGTGGCTAAGTTGGTGGGCGTGGCTTGGTGGTCATGTTATTGGCTGGGCATGGCCAACTCAACATCACTCACATTGAGGCACGCATCTCCTTGCCTGGTCTCTCATGACTGTGGGGATGCTGCAACAGTCGTAAGTGTGAAAAATGGTCATAAGTCACTTTTTTCTGTGCCATTGCAACTTTGAATGGTCACTCCACACAAGCAAAGTACCAGCAAAGGAAGGGAAAAAAACTCCAGAGAAGTTCCAGAGACAGGAAGTCTAGTCCTGCCAAGAATGTAATAAGGGTTAAGGGAGAGGCAGTTTATGTAAGCAACACCAGAATGTTTCCTTCCTGCCTTCCTTACAGGATTAGGCCAATAATTTCTAACAACTGGTTCTCCAAACTGCTTAGAATGTTAACAACCGGTTCCAGCGAATAGGTGCAAACTGGTAGAATCCCACCCCTGGATATATAATAGATTAACTACTATGTCTATTAACTACTATCCTTCCTCAATTTGATGTCTTTGCAGGTAAGCTTAGAACTTCACCAGTTGCATTATGGAAAGTTGATATTAAATATTTATATTAAATATATTATCCAGCATTTTCTTTTCAACGTGTCAAACCCCTTGCAGAACTCTTGCTCCACTCTTTCCAGGTGGGTATTTGTGTCCTAATCAGGTCTCCTATAGAAGGTTCCAGGTAGCAACAAATCTCATCTGGACCGGGAAAGGATCAGATCATGCATTCAAAGTAATGAATGATCATTCAGAGACAAAACATGACCCACTTTACATTCACCTGGATCAGGCTGAGACTACTTGGGACAGACCCACGGCTGCCATGGAGGCCATAAAATATGAGCCCTGCTAGACTCCCACACCAGCCACAAGATAAATCCTTACCATAGTGAACTTCCAAATCCCCATAACCCGTACGCCAAAATCTAACCTGGAAAGAGCTTCAAAGCATGGCTGAGGAACCATGTCCCTGATATATATCAAAGGCTGCTTCATGAGGCTTGAAAGTGGCTTGCAGAGACGGATGTGAAGTAGGATAGCTTCAAGATCTATATACAGCCGCTTGTGAAAAGACAAGTGTGAATTATAGAATATCTGTAATCTCCCATGTTCCGTTTCATGCAACCTGTAAGATAGGAAATTGGACTACATTAACTAATAAATCCCTCATTTCTTCTGTTGAATTTGACTTTTAAAACAGGTACAAATCCTGTAAAATAAGTAATAAATCTCTGTACTGTATATCAGTTTTCTACAATGTTTCCACTAAAACTAATCTTGTCTATAAAGCAACAAGACACAAATGGCATTCCTGAAAAAACAAATTCCAGCAGAATAAATCACAGTATTTTTAAAGAACATAACTAAGTAAAAACTGCACCAACGATGGTTTACTCATCTGAAATGTACATTTCTCTTCATTTGAGGTGAATCTATATAATAAAAATTACTGGATGTTGAGCTGGGGAAACTGAAGCCAACTTAGAATCAGGAACTCTTCCAGCTGCTTCAGGCATGCCATTCACATGCAAACCTGGATCTCTGCTTGCAAAGGATTGCTGCAATAATTAACATCTAGCTACTGCCAAACTCAGCATATTTAGCATGCTGCAGAAATCAAGGCGAGACTATAAATAAAGCCCTCAACACAGCTTTCTTCCTTTTAACTGCACTAATGCTATGTTGGAATGAAATGCATTTTAACTCTACAAATATAGCAGATATGCTCTACTCCTATCGATGCACTTCCGATAAGGCTGATTAATTCTGATATACTAAAACTGTATGTATGCGTGTATAAAACAAAAGGTGTGCATCAAATATCAGGTATAATATGAAGCTTTGGGCTTAAAAAAACATTCCCTTTGATGTGAATGAAAACAGGAGGGCTCTAGTCACTTTAATACATTCAAGTATAGTCAGTGCTAAATACTGCGTCCTGTTGAGCTACATACATGTTGTGAAACATTCTGTTGGTTTTTTAAATAGTAATAGGCATAGGAATAACCTGGAGGGAGAAGACGAAGAGCTGCAATCAAGACAAAAGTCAGACAAAGGAAACGTGAGTGAATAAATGTAATTTTTGAGAAAGCCTCTTAAGACTTTATCTTCACTAGTTCCCCCATGAAGATAAAGAGAGGGAGTGGGAACCTACATTCAGACTTACCGGGTCCTTTTACTGTAACCTTTTAATAAAAGTAGTATTGTAGTAGCATGCATGACTTTAGTTTCCTAGTTTGGGCAACCTTAAAGAGCTGACAATATCCCAGTTAAATAAATATTTCAGCACTGAGGATCATCACAATATTTCCTGGCCCTGCACAATAACATCTTACTCAAAGTAGAAGAAAGCTAGCTTTTTCCATTGTGGCTTAATTCCGTCTTGTACTGTCAAATTCTAATGTATCAGTGCAGCAAAAGCTGGTCTGTTTGCCTTTGCCTTTGACGGTGATGCATACTAAAGATACATTTATCCTTCTCTGGACTATGCAACTGAACTATGATTCCCGTATTTTTCGGAGTATAAGACTCTCCAAAGTATAAGATGCACCTAGCTTTTGGGGAGGAAAACAAGGGGGGGGGGGAATTGCCTCTGCCTTCCAGCAATTTTCCTCCTTGCAGCAAAGAGCCTGTTTCAGCTTCAGCGCAGCCTGATTAGCATAAGCGGCTGATTGTCAGTTGGATCAGCCTCCCGACGATCAGCTGTTTCAGGGTGCAGGGATTGCCATAGCCTATTGCCGCCTCCATACGCGCCATTTTCGGCCTCCATATCCCGTTTTTGGCCTCTGTGTGACCCATTTTCAGCCTCTGTGCGACCCATTTTCTGCCTGTTCTGGGCAGCTGGGATCGGACTACTTGTGCAAGTAAAGGTAAAGAAATAGATTTCTCCTGTTCCTTGGGTCTGACTTTAGGGGACGGTACTCAACTCTGTTTCTTAGCCATGGGAGCCAACATTGTCCAAAGACACTTCTTTGGTCATATGGCCAACATGACTATATGCCCAAGTGCACAGAATACCTGTTTATCTACTCACTTTTGCAGACTTTTGAAATGCTAGGTTAGCAGGAGCTGAGGCAGCTCACCTCACTGTACGACATTCACGTCTCAAACTTGGGCTATCAGCTTTCCAACTGACAACCTCAGTGTCTTTAATCACTGAGCCATCATTCCCCACCAAGTTACAAGTAAGCAAGTTTAAACTAACATCCACATGCTTCGAGGCTTTTGTTTTTGAGAATTAGCAAATAAATGCTGTGTGCTGTAAATGTACAAACTCAGTGTCAAAAGAATAGTTGAAATATATAGATGTCTAATGGTAAAATAAAGTATTTCCCTAATTAATAGAAGTATAGTAACTGCAACATGAAAGTTTTCATCCAAGGTATAATAGATAGTAGTACAGCTTTATAGGACTCTTGTTCCTCCCAAACAGCTGAGTATTCTGGCAGATGATCCCAACTCCCTGAAGGGTGTCAATTTAGACTGAAGCTATGGGGAGGGAGGGAAAGAACTATGGGCTCCCTATCCACCCACCCTCCAACCCATATCTGAATTCTGAAACACATCAGGTCCCTTGATGCTTATACATTTGCTTTCAAGGAGCAATGGATACAATTGCAAACTCTGTACAATAAAATCTTATTGAGTTTGTCCCTAAGATTCATTGAGATTTATGAATTCCCCCCCATTCTTAAGAAAACATGATTTGGATTCCTATCATACAAAATGGAGAAATAACCACTACTAAACACTGCTATTCAAAATATACAAATAACTCAAAAATTAGATGCATGATTGAAAAACAACAGATGGTGATAGATAGAATTTCAAATATCAGAGAAAATATAAAGGTAACAGTAGCCTCAATTATCAATTCCTCTTGCATTTGTTCAAAATTCCTGTCTCTTGTACCCATATGAGCAGACAAAATATAGAAAGCTATCAATTTCTACAGCACCATTCTTTCTTTCTTTTTTCATGTTCAGGAAGATTTCATTCCAACATACTGGTTCAGTATGCACAATTATTTTTTAAAAAAATCAGGATACATTCGAGCCACAATCTAGTACTACTGTTTACAAATCTATGGATTGGTCACCTATGAAATGTTCACAGGGTAAGCATTTGGAGAACCAGAGGCTCTTGGCATCACTTCTGAATTTTATCACTGTTACTATGTTAGGATGTGAAATCTTGTAAACTGCCTTCAGAAAGATAACTACAGAAAAAAGTGGTTTTAATAGTAAAATGGTATTACCTATCAATTTTTTTATTCCACATCCTCTTAATTGCTTTATTTCTGAAACCTTCCAGGATAAGAAGGTGAATGGACCCATCGATTATGTGAAACCCAGTAATAATATTTAGCCGAGAAATCTCTTCTAAGGAAAGTTTCTGATTCAATTTCAAAGTGTTAAGAGATTTTTGAGTTGTATCTATGGGATAGGAATCAAGTAGGAAAGCCTCTGAATTAATTTCTGTAATCTGTTGCATCAAATAATATAATAATGATGTATTATTATAATCAAAAAGATAAATGATACAGCCATATGGACAATGTGCAGCAGCAGCATCTTCTTCCTCTGGAGGACCCAATGGTACACTTATTTCAACTCTCACTTTAAGATATGATTCTGCATTTATGTAATGCCCAATTGAAAGTTGAACAACTTGAGAGTCATCTGTTTTTTTAGCCCCTGGACTGGTATTTTGCCCATAAGATAGAGATGTATCTTGAATTGAGCAGCTGTGAATTGGTGCACAGAAATTCAAGGTTTTTTCACCTAGCAGTAAATCGTTCAAGTTGATTTTCGCTATTCCATATGGACTGTGAATATTTTCTTTGGCTGTAATGGTATTCTTGACCATGTATCTCGAAGTGACGATGCTTATGTCACTTAGCTTGCTGTCTCCTGGTTCCTCTCCAAACAAAGATGGTGTCATCTTGAGATCTTCCATTTTCTTATCTCTGTCATGAACTTCAATTTCTAAAGGTGGGCCTCTTAGGTATTCATTGAATTCTCCAGGGTCTATTGCTCCTACAAGAATCACATTGATATCTTTAAAGAAGACATCAGTTCCATGATTTCGGCCTTGTGTATAATGAGGACACATTTTGTAGAAAGTGTATTTGCAGTAAACAGGAAGGCAAGTTCTCTACAAAAGACAATAACAGTATAAATGTTCAGTATAAATATGACTTCTTGATTCTAAATGTATTAAGTATACAAATGTATTCCAAACACCTAATAAAATAACTTCAAAGTAATAACTAAAATCAAAAAGACAATCAAAAAGAAAACATCAAAGAAACTAAAGTAGAAAAAAAAACACTTATGGTCTAAAAGGGAAGGTTGGAGGAAGAACAGTCCAAGTACACACACCTAAGCAAGGTTTCCCTAATCTAATATCACAACTACATCCATTTCTGAAAGTAATCTCCTGCTTCAGGTTTCAAACACACATACACAGTTGCTAGGTAAAGCATAAGCAATTTACTTGAATATGAACAGATAATCAAAGGTACATAAATCAGTCTCTGAAGATAAGGTAGTTTCACTTTCCACAGAAATATGCAGAAGAAGAGTCAAAAATTCAAAATTGAGAGAGCCAAGCAAGATCAGCCTGTCCAAGGATGGGAGTTTTAGGTTTCTTACAGAGCAGAAGGCATGGCCAGAAACAGGAAATCAGACCACTGTTTCCAACAAGGAAACATAAGTCAAAGCTGCCTCTTAAATAAGGCTGAAGCCAGCTGTGTTTAAAGCATATATGGCCTTGATTGGCAAGGAGCCTCACTGAACATCTTTGCTATGATTTCCTCTGCTATGAAGTCCTTCAAGTGCTTAGAAGCTGTACATAAACATGGCTATTCTGATCGTGCCTTTGTTTGATCAGCCTCAAGAGATTCCTGGCTCAATGTCTCCTGATGTTGGCATTCAATTGGTTCAACCAGAGTAGCTTTCTCTGGACTCTTATCTGAGATCTGGGCCATGACACATGGTGATAGAATATTAAGGTAAGCGCTTAAGTCACAAGTTTCTGTCTTGTCTAACACACTAATAGTATTTATTTATGAAACCCAGATCAGACTGGGGACTGAAATGGGATGTCACTGGTATGCTAACAATATACTTTTGTTTTCTTTTTCATCTGATTCAGGTGTGATGCTAGCTATTCTTAAATGGAATGAAAGGATCCTGACATTAATGAAGTAGAAGAATAAATTCATAATGAACTAAGGGAGCAATGATTTAAGAGAATATTTTGTTCTTAACTTCAGGGACTTATCTGTTTTAGTGGAGGGAATGATTAGAGATGAATGATTATAAATAGTTTGGAAGACAGCACAAGCAACAGACTATTAAGCAAGTAAATGGGAGAGAAATTGTTATCCCATCAGCAACAAGGATCTTTAAAAAACAATTGGAACAAAAGACTGGGAATTATCAGAAGTACAATGCGAAAACAGAATTCTATTCACTCTAGAATCTAGATCTAAATTGTGAAGGGCAAACAGAAGGAAATTCTACAGCATTTAAAATTCAGGACATCCCCCAATATAATGGATGATTGGTGTCAGCCAGTTGCAAGAGCCATCATGTTTCTCCAAGTGCCTCAATGACTGTCTAAGAGGATGCAAATGACCAGCTGTCTGCAAGGAGTATAAATCCTTCCATTCCCCACCATCCAGTCAGAGCTGAAGAAGCTTCTTGGATGAGAAGTAAAACATCTTCAAAGGAAAAACAAGAAAGTCCAGTTTCCTCCTGAAAAAGCACCTTTGGCACAACCATGACCTAGATGACTATGAATCTCTGTAAGATATACAGTAGATCCATAACTTAGGAATGAGTGCGGACACACTGGAGTAGTACCAATAAAGGAGAGTATTTGTAGTTCAGGGTTGAAATGAGGGGTCCTTGGTGCTCCCTGAGCTTGTTTTCTAGAAGATGTTTCATTACCCAAACTAGGTAACCAGATCATTGCTAATCCTGATTTTTAGTTTGTAAAAAAACATCATTAGCAGTGATGATGTTACCTAGAGTTTGGGCAAATGAAACAAATGTCAATAAAACTACTAAGCTCAGAGAGCATTAAGGACCCCTCACACTGCAGCATGCATTATACATACAGGATATGAGAGGACTGGGGAATGAGAAGTCCTCTCCACACCCTAGGTCAAGTACAGAGTAGGATATAGAGTGGAAACAAAAACAATAATAATGGCAGTATTAGAAAGAATTGAAATAGCCTTTTAGTGAAAAAATATAGAAAGAAGAATTGAAGGTTCATGAAGATTCATAAATGATCTGAAGAACGAGAGCCAGGACAGAGAGGAGAAGACAGAAGAGGAGAGGATGAAATAATCCTTTGCTGGTTTGATTTAAAAAAGTGAAGGATGCTTCATTCAAAGCTCTTTAAATCAGACTGAAAAACAATCAAATGAAAAATGACCTTCAACAGTGGTCCCTATATTACAAAAGCCATAGTCAAGGTCTCCCCTACAAGAGAATAAAGGAGGGCCAGGTGAATCTCCATGCATTACAAAAATTAAAGTTTTCTACATTTCATTTCAGGATGTTTATATATTCCAGAAATAAAAGATACTTTAAAACGTATTGTTGTGCTCCAGAATGCCCTCTATTATCACTATATAGAACCATAAAGGATTACCTGCAACTCTTCAACTGGAACAGGAGTATTTGGTAAACATTTTGCAGACTTAATCTTAATAATCATTGGGTTCAAGTCACGTTTGTGTTTCTCACTCATAATCGGTTTGTCTATAGCAAAACCTAAGTATGCTTCATTAAGTTTGGGGGAATTATCTTCCCATCGACTGGCTGTATAGTATTCACCTGCAGATGAAGAGAAGGATCTGAATTATTTATAACTGTTCAGGTTAAAAAACGTAAAATCTGTTATGTTGAGCCTGATCCTTGCTGTCTTTATGGACGAGACCATGTACATTTTTTTTTTGCAAAAACACTAAAATGTATTGTCTCTGTCTGCTTCCAGGATGTTTTTCCCACCAAACCTTCTCTACCCTGTCATTCCCAAGTATTCCCCCAACCAATTATTAACTGGGGCCAGCCCTGTTTAGCCACCAAGTACAGCCACCTGCTGGGGCTGATACTAATGCAGCAAGACATTCTTGTTGCTGCTGAAAATATAAGTGGACCTCACCAGCTCTCACTTTTACTACTTAGGAAATGCCAAGAAGCAGAAAATAAAGGGATGCAAATTCTGATGCAGCTAGTTCAAGTTGCTTAGAAAGCACCAATATATAGGAAATAATAAAAGGGGAAGCGGGAAAGCATATGAAGAAATAGATTACTGAATTCAAAGATTTTCAGTCAAAAGCTTTCTTTGGGACCAATCAAGTAATATATACAGCATAGCTGGGACAATGATTCTTAGTGGCCTTCTTATCAAAGATGAATATTAAAACATATTTTCTAAGAACTGCATAACAATATGGCTAGTCTAAGAATACAACTGGAATTCATCTAATGTGCCAATTGGTAACAAGGAGCTATGTATATGTAAAAGATATATTTATATTTTATGGTGATTAAATCATAATTAAAGATGCGGGGGGCACGGAGGGGGATTGAGCGCGCATGTGCAGGGAGGTAGGGGGAGCGTTGCATGCGCATTGCATTATGGGTGCACATGTACGCACGCACTTTCAGCACACGACTAAAAGGTTAGCCATCACTGAGTTAGATATTACTATGGTGAACACTTGCAAGAAAATAAAGATTCAAGTAAATAAATGTGTTGTTAAATTACATTCCATATATATGGAATAATATAGATATAGAATTGTTTATTTTGAAAGAGCCTTGGATACACAGAGTGTGGATTCTTGCAAAAAAAATAATTCAGTTTGCTTGGAAGACTGCAAAAAATTAAAAAAATTAAAAAAATTAAAATGGTTGTGGATCAACCATGAGATAAGCTTAGATAACACACTTCCATATCATCTAGGTTTTGCTGATTGCCTAAAAATTAAATGATAATGACCAGGCTAATAATACTCTTGTTACTGAGGAATTTTAAAAAGGAGACAAAGCTGCAAAGTTCTACCGTAAACTGGTCTGTCCACATTTTCAATTTAGACTGCTTCCAAATCACTAAACTGTCAAAGATCAGAACACCCAGATTCACACGCTATAAAAAAGATGTTGAGATTCTAGAAAGTATGCAGAGAAGAGCAACCAGGATGATTAGGGGACTGGAGGCTAAAACATACAATGAACGGTTGCAGGAACTGGGCATGGCTAGTGTAGTGAAGAAAAGGACCAGGGGAGACATGATAGCATTGTTTCAACATTTGAGGAGATGCCACAGAGAGGAAGGGGTCAAGCTATTTTCCAAAGCACCTGAAGGCCAGACAAGGAATAATGGATGGAAACTGAACAAGGAGAGATTCAACCTGGAAATAAGGAGAAATTTTCTGACCATGAAAACAATCAATCAATGGAACAGCTTGCCTTCGGAAGTTGCGGGAGGTCGAGTTCCGGTTTGTCAGGCTTCGGCGGTGGCAGGAATTCGCGTTTGTGCGCGATCCCTGCTGTGCTCGCTGCTGGAGTACCTCTGATCCAGCTGGATTTGGAGGCTATAGTTATCCTGTAGGGATAACTGAAGACAGGGGAGATCCAGGCAGGGGTCCGGGGGCATCGCAACCCCCTTCCTCAGCCGGCTAAACTCCCTTTTCCAAAGGCGGTGGAGCGGCGGTCAGCAATGGCCGCCACAAAGAACCTCTCAGCCAGACAAGTTTGTGCAGGAGGAAGTTGAGAAAGTGAAAGGTTTTGGCTGAACCGGGACAATAAGTAACATCTGAACACCCTGGAAATCTAGCTCTTTAAAGGATACATTGTTTCCCAAGAAGATCGTAAAAAGCTGCAGATGAAAGTGAAAGTTTTTTTTTCTTCACTCTCCTTCCCTACGGAGATAGCAATGGAAATCGGAAACACCCGCTTTGGCAACAGAAGGTAACTAATTTTGAAAATTAAAGCCAAGGGGAGATTAAAGATTTCTGAACATTGATATTTAAAAATCAAAATCTTTTTGCTATAAGTGGGAAGGGAGAGGTAAATGATTTATATTAAGATTCTGCTGGAGGAGACTGCTTGGAGTTTATAAGATCAGAGATTAACTGCAATAAGACTTCTAAAAAATCATTTTGGAATTGTGTAATTGAACTCTACCCCAGGAAGAGAAAGTATTAAAAGAGGAAAGTGCTAAATGAAACAGTTTGTGTTGATTTGGATTGCTTGATGACTTTGGGACTTTTGCAAATTATTTTTTGAAAGACTAAAAACATTTGGATTGTTTAAAAAAATATATATCTCACAATGGCATTATCTGTGGAAGAATTGAAAATGGAATTTAAAAAGCTAAAAGAAGAGGAACAAGAAGGGAAGGGCTCTTCTGGATCTGTTTTTCACTTCTTAGAAATGGCGATTTCTACCTATCAGGAAATACAGCAACAAGAAAGCTGGGATGAAGAAGAAGAAGCCATCTTTAATGGACAAACAATTTTAGTTGATGAAGAAAAGGGAAAAGGGGGAAAGAAAATGGAGAATTTAAGATCTAAAAAAACAACCAAGAAAGGGAAAAATAAGGTGAAAAATCGATATAATGTCAGAAAGCAACAGAAAAGAGGAATACAACAGAGAGGGGAGACTAAAAGGGCGGAGGTTGAGAGATGGGGGGGGTAAAAAGGCTAGATTCGACAAGAAAGGAAGGGAAAAAGGGAAGAGACGTTATAAAGGCTTAAAACAAGATGTTAAAAAACAGGTTTTTTTTAGAGACAAAGGGTAAAATATAATGTAAAAAAAGATTCTACAAAAGTACACAAGATTGTATCGTAGTATTTGTATTTGAAATAGAGTTAGAAAATTGGAATATTATATGTATTAATAGAATATTGTGGGGAATGTGTAAAATGTCTAAGATTTAATAATAGAGTTTAATTAATTAATTTGTTATGGAACATTGTTTTTACTGTACTATAATCTTATTATGTTTTTTATTTTAAAATGTTACGTAGAATGTACTAAGCAGAATCAGAATGGAAATTATGTATTATTTTAAGTGTTAAATTTGGGGGAAAGATAGAAAGGCGTCATACTTCAACCAGTGATTACAGGAAAAAATTTGTATTAAAGAGAAAAGATAGACAATTGAAAAAGAACGAACAAAAGATACAAGTATAATGATTTAAATTGAGATGAAGTAAATAAAATAGAATCAAGAGAGTGAAAAGAGGGGAAAAGACATATAGAAAATATAGAATGTTAAATAAGATTGAAATAGTATATAAGGTGAGCATGAATTTGATTTATGTCTGTACAAAAAGATGTAACCCGGGGTTAAGCTGCTTTCTAAAAAGAAGTTTTATGTTTTCATGTTACGTGTTTTGTTTGTTTATGTTTGTTTATTGAGAATTAAGAATGTTGGATGAGAACATATGAAATCGTAAATAAGACAGATGAAAGTATAACTTTAATAAATAAAATTGAATAGAAGTAAAGGGAAAAATAGTGAGAAGTTGGAAAAAGAGTAATAAGATATGAAGTTGAATACATAAGATGCATATTAAATTGTGTTTGTATGGAAATGTGATAATTTGGAACTATGCTGTATTTAAATAAGATGTTTTATTTGCTTTGTTAAAAGATGTTTTATGTTCTTACATTTTATGTTTTGTTTGTGTATTGTCTTTGAAAATTAAATTTGTTTAAAAAAAAGAAGAAGTTGCGGGAGGTCCATCATTGGAGGCTTTCAAGGAGAGGCTGGACTGCCACCTGTCAAATATGGTGTAGGGTCTGCTTGGTGGGGGGTTGGACTAGATGACCTGCAACATCCCTTCCAATTCAGTTAATCTGTATCTGCACCAGGTGCAGGGATAGGTCATGCAACTCAAGCCCTGGCACTTTTTTTGTCCCTGATATGTACAGGAGGGTGGGCTTGGATCACAATGCTATGCCCATCATCCTGCAAGTATTTATCTCCCTCCCTGATATTCCTTCATCGTATTCCCATTTTCCCTGTCACCCATCTCTGAGGAAAATACCTGCTAGAAGAGGGATAAGGTCCAGCTGCAAAGCAGCTATTCCAAACTTCCTTGCCTGGGCTGCCAGGGCAGCTGCTTCTTTATCAGCTGTTCTCTGAGCGGCTTGTTTTGATTTCTTCTCACTTAAAATATTACTTTTCTGTGATGGTCTCCGCTTCTCTGAGTGAAGAAAAGCTGGAAAATTATAGAAATTAATTTATAATTTGGATAAAATTGATTTGTAAAGACAGAAAGGTGATTATTATATTGAGCTTCAATTTCATTGCCTCACAAACGGGAAGTTCAATCGTGACAACTGGACTTTTCTTTTGGGTTTGAGTCCAGTTGCCATCATTCAATTTCCTGACCACACTACCTGGATGACCGAGAATCTTCCTTGACACACTGCCTCCCTATGTCTTACTTCTCTTCTCAGCTCTGCATAATGCTGCATGTCTTGAAAGGAAAGAACATGATGGACATATGTATATATATGCAGCCCTGCAGGTATGCTAAAAATGGTGCATACAGAATGAAATCAGGAAGTCCTTGATGTGTCTTAATAAATTCTGAGCAGCAGTTCATTCATCCATTATCTATGGCACAATACTGCAAAACTGTAAAGTTATTGTTGAGTATTACAGCTCGATTATAAGAAACTCTGGACACGTGGGAGTACAATACATTGGTTTTCCTTATTTTTCATTTGCTCATTCTTAATTCAGATTTTATCTTAATCTAACCTTGTCAAATATTGTTTTCAGTTGACTGAGCCAGATTGGATTGTTTTCAGTGCTTAAAAAAACAGAGCATCGCAGAATTTACTTCATGAAACTCTTGATAGCTATTTGCTACCCATACTGAAGGATGCAGAAATGTGCTCTCAACCAAGCAGTACACTTGAGTAGATTAAGCAATAGAATTTCAACTATTTACAGAACGGTAAGCAATTCCAGAATAAAGAAATGTTTCAAAAAGTTGAAATACATCAGGAAACTGAACTGAGAAGTATTACACATTCCAGTTTACGTCCTGCTTTGATGTAGTAGTTTTGTGAAGGGCTGCAGCCACTAACTTAAGGAGATATCCTTACCTGGTATCTTTTTCCTAAAAATGTGACTTAGGACACTAGCCCACATGCCTTTGGGAGATCAATCTCACATGGTGTAAACAGAATCGAACTTTTGAATGAGTCGCATGTAATGCATTTAGTGGAGGTGGAGATAAAAGTGGTGGAGATATTTTATGGCTCTGTAGAGCTCAGATCCTTAAGTGAAAGAAAATCAAACTAAAGGATTCTAACCCTGACCCCAAATATATATTTTGGAAAATTTACCCACCATGTTTCTCTGAGTAAAGTCAGCAATGTTGGTTTGTCAATACACTGCATAGGTAGTCTTCGACTATTCATTTAGTGGCCATTAGCAGTTACAAGGGCATTGAAAGAAGTAACTTATGACCATTTTTCACACTTACGACCGTTCCTACATCCATGAGATCAAAATTCAGATGCTTGGTAACTGACTCATATTTATGACGGTTGCCAGGGTCACATGATCACTTTTGCAACCTTCTAACAAGAAAAGTCAATGGGGAAGCCAGATTCACTTAACAACCATTGTTATTAACTTAATACCTGCAGTGATTTATTTAACCAACTGTGGCAGGAAAGATCGTAAAATGGGGCGAAACTCATTTAATAACTGAATTGGTTAGCAAGAGAAATTTTAGGCTCAACTGCAGTCCTAAATTAAGGATTACCTGTATATTAAATTACTTGCCTTCCACATATCACCTACAAATTTGTCATTTAATACTGGTTAACATTCACTATTATCTTGCTAATATATTACCTTGAATAGATTTCTGTGTCATTTAAAATTGCAATCGTAAATATATTCATCTGGAAAGAAAAAAACTTCCAATGGCATTTGTTGCCTAGAAAATGTAGAGTTGCATGAATCTCTGTGACACACTCACCTGTAGACGCTCTTTCCTTTCTGTCTGAAGGTGATTTGCTCCCATCAGTTTTTGTTAATGCTGAGTGTTTACGAGACAGGGACGTACGGTGTTTCTGTTTTATAACTTTAAAGTCCTGAATGGTTTTTTCTTTAAAAGAAGATTCTATGCTCCCATTAAAACTGACTGTACTTAAAAGGAAAAGAAGGAATAAAGCTCGTGTTATCCAAAGGAAAATATTATATATTATCTATATTGCTGCTGCTGGAAAACACACCAATTAACAGTTCCACTTAGATAAAGTAGAAATAAAAGGGATATAATGCAGATGGCATTCTGAATTTTCTCTAAGATCTATCCATTTTCTTGACTATGGAAACTGAAATGCCCCCAACAGCCCCATCACCTCTCATCTAAACATGGCATTCTGTGCCTCTGTGGCTGCTGGGTCCATTGGTGGCTGTGGAGAATAGAATCTCACTTGCAACTCTTGGTTTTAGTTCTTGTGCGTTAGATCTAGATTTTATAAGAGACACATACATGGGAGCCTTTAACATTTATGGGACAGAGTAAGAAGAGAGCAACAGTAGAACCACAAAGTAGAAAGTAGAAATGGAATGGAATGGAACTGGTATAACTATTTTATAATTTTTCTCTGTAGGATCTAACTTGCTCAGAGCTTTAACTGATATGCTTTTCTCTCTCCCCAAACATTGTCAAGACTTGCAGCTCTTGCAAAACCCACAGCAGAACCTGCAGGACAGCCTATTAGTTTTTTTAGAAACCCCACTTGTGAAATAAATATTTGCTAAACTTACGCCAAGAGTTGATGAATGTCCAACTGCTTGTATAAGGCCATATGGGAAGGTTGTCACACAAGGGCTGCACCATCCTGCATGTTCCTAACAATATTGTGTTACTTTGAGAACTCAGCGAAAGCTGAGCCAATGAAAATCAGCTCAGTTTTTAATCCCAAGAAAACACATGAGAACATGTTTGCAGTACCTGCTCCAGAATGCAGGGCAAGGCACGTAGTTCTGGTAGGAATTATTACCTAATCCATCCTCCCTACCTATCCCTGGGACTCCCCTGTCACTTCAAGTCCTCTCCCATCCTTCTCTACTGTACTTATGGCTTGCTTTATTCTTGTTAGGGATATACACCCTAGCAGAACCTGCACGGCAGTCAGGCAGGCAGGCAGGCAGGCAAATATGTGAGACAAACGTTTTTGTAGCTTACACTCAGTAAAAGATACACTGTGCTAGTTAAATAGTTTATTCCAGTAATTGTTTTAGCATAGTCAAACAGTCCATATATCATACACTAGTTCAGTCCGTCCGGGGATTAATCAGTTGCAAAGTCCAGTGTCGAAAAAGAGGTCAGTTAACTTACAAATATCAGTCCAGTAATATATCTCTTCACAGTAGAGATATGAAGAAGTCAAACCTCTTTTCTTCCTTCAGCAACAGCAAAGAACACGCAGTTAACAATCCATCATCGTCAGCAAGCAATCCAGTAAGCCAGCAATCAATCAAGTTCTCTTGCTCCCTCTTATGGCGATTTACAGCCGCACCCAAAATTACATGCTTTGCAATTAAAGTGACACACACTTAAATTCACTATCATAGTTTATATATATTATTTTACCCAAACTACGTTAGGTAACCTATGTTATTCCTAACAATTCTTTCCCAGCCAAGGGAATGTTGGAAAGAAATGATAGGAAGAGATCCAAGTTTCTCTCTGTCTGCCCATCTGTCCTTCAACAGGAAAATGCTTTGAAAACCAATTACAGTTGGATAAAATATGGCATGGGGAGAGAACAAAAGGGAAAGTTGTGTTGAAAATGGACTTAATCTGGCTAGGCTAGAGGCTGTGAGGAAAAAATCCTGAAAAAATTCTCCCCATGCAGCCATATGAGAGAGGTACTGTAAACAGGCCACAGCACAGCATTTCACTTGCTCTTCCTTCTAAGCCCCATTCTGCTTCCCCTCCTAATCAGAGCTATTTTCAAGAGACCAGAAATAATTCTAGAAGCCATTCTAAATCTTCCTCCTTCGCCAGCTTTCTTTGTCATAAAACGCGAACACAGCAAAGTTGAGGTGGTTAGCAACAATTTGTCTGAAATGGTATAGCGCAGGAGTCTCCAACCTTGGCAACTTTAAGACTTGTGGATTTCAACTCCTCAGTGCTGGCTGAGGACTTCTGGGAGTTGAAGTCCACAAGTCTTAAAGTTGCCAAGGTTGGAGACCTCTGGTATAGGATTTCTTGCCAGAGAAAGGAGTTAGAACAGAAGACACCCACAGTCCTTTTAAACTGTTATTCTGCTTAAGCCAACAGCATTATGGACAGTTGTGGTGGTGAGAAAGCAGTTGTGTGAATCTGAGTGGGTCAAAAGGGCCCAAACATAAATGGTAGGAAAAAACTGAAGAGAATCCCCACTCTCAATCCCAATTTTAGAAATCAAAATCTAATTTCTTGAAGTTAAACAGCCGTTTCATTTCTTAAAATAAAAACAGAACAATCTAAAAAGTGAATGCAATTAATCTTGTCAGAATAGAAATGGTATGCTTAAGTTGCCTGTATCTCATTATCTGCATGTAATGATCGATGTGAATAGGAAAAAAATAGGCCACTGATGGCTTCATTTATATTAGTAATTGAAAATGAATTCAATAGTAACAAAAATAGTCAAGTGTTCAGATTCAGACATAGAACTGATGAACTTTGTGGTTATTTGGAAACACATTGTCATGTATTGCAGGCAAAGGATGACCACTGTCATCTATTAATTGCAGGCAATGGGACACAGCACTCTATGTGTTACCACCCCATTAAGATTATTGCTGGAACCCAAGGAAAAAGGATGAGAGACCTGACTACTCTGCATCTTCCACACCTGCCAAGCTCACCTCAGGTGTTCTTAGGCTGAATGCTAGCAAGGTATATATTCCTGGAAATACATGTGCAAACCAGATGCTATAGGCTGGCTCAATAACAGTTGTAATGCTCAGCCTTCAAGCTAGTTCTATAGTGGTGGAAAGGAAAGATCAAAAAATAAGATTCTCTATCATTTAATTTGTTTTTTTATCAACTGAATGATTTGTATATTCATGACAAATAAAGAGTTTGCTTATCATAAAAACAGAGACATTCTATTGTCCCACTGCATTTTTAATGCCTTGAAATATCAAATATTTTTCTTCTTATTTCTCTTCAATTTGTAATATTTAAATATTTTTGCTTTTGCTAAAAATTTGACATAAAATACAATTTTTTGCTGTTAATTGCTCTTTGGCTTTTCTATAAACATTGAAGAAAAAAAACAATCTGCTGCTTTAAAAGATTATTTCTGGAAATCCATGTTTTTCTCCAGGTATGACAAAACAAATCCTATAACCTAATAATTACCTTGAGGAGGTTAATGCAAGACAGACCAGCTCAGATTATTCTCATGAACATAATCTGGGAAGAGAAATGTGTAGACCAGCCTTCTCTCTTTTTCTGATCTCTTTCCTCTATATAAAAACAACTTCTATAAGCTCACACTCAGCACAGCAGACTTGTGAAATCTATTAGATATGTGTGTGAATGCTGAAAACACTTAAGAGGGTTGTGAAATTGTAGAAAGTAAGGAACATGACCTGCCAAATCATTTAACAAACCTACAAGGGGCGAAAATGTGGCTTAAGTCCAAACAAGAGAAAGAATGCACAAAAGACTTGTGTGATACTTCGGGATAAAAGTCCGATAGTAGTTGGCGAATCCCAAAAGACGTTGTACGTCCTTGACTCGACGAGGGGCTTCCCAACTACACAAGGCCTCAACCTTTTTAGGGTCCATAGCAATGCCCTCGGGAGAAATGATGTGCCCTAAAAACTCTATCGATGACTGAAAAAAGAAACACTTCTCCGTTTCGCGTAGAGTTTATGCTCCCGAAGACGCTGAAGCACTTGACGAACCTGCTGAAGGTGGTGATCTCTGGACCGAGAGTAAATCAAAATGCCGTCCAGATACACCACGACAAACCTATCCAGCATGTCCCGGAAAATGTCGTTCATCAAATGCTGGAATACAGCTGGAGTGTTGGTCAGACCAAATGGCATGACGGTGTACTCGAAATGACCATAACGAGTGCCAAACGCCATCTTCCACTCGTCCCCCTTGCGCATCCGAACCAGGTTGTAGGCCCCACGCAGATCGAGTTTAGTGAAGATTGTAGCCTCCCACAACCGCTCCATCAATTCCGGAATGAGCGGCAAGGGATAGCTATTCCTCACTGTGATAGCGTTTAATCGTTGATAATCACAGCAGAGACGAAGTTCTCCCGACTTCTTTTTAACAAAAAGAATGTGAGCCGAAAGAGGGGACGACGAGGGTCGAATAAATCCCCGAGCTAAGTTTTTATCTAAAAACTCTCAGAGCGCAACCAACTCGGGCTCTGACATGGAGTATAACCGCCCCTTTGGCAATGGAGCATCCGGTATCAGGTCCACGGGACAATCATAAGCACGATGTGGTGGTAATTGGTCTGCCTCCTGTTCACTGAAAACATCGGAGAAGTCCGACAGCTCCAAAGGAATTGAGACAGCAGGAGCGGCGATATCTTGGCCAGCGCAGACATGCCTCAGGTGGTCCACACATTGTAGGCTTGGAAAAGAAATGGCGTTCTGCGCCCAAGCCACCAACGGATCATGCAAACGCAACCAGGACTCTCCGAGAACCAAAGGGAGATGGAGGTTCGAGGTGATATAAAAACTTATCGCCTCCTCATGATCCCTAATAAGCATACGCACTGGCTGAGTGGCGAAACGAATGGGTCCCGACTTGAGTTCACGCCCATCTACGGTTTCCACCTTAATGGGTGGATTCACAGGAATCAAAGGAATTTCAAAATGTTTGACAAAAGCACAGTCCATAAAGCTGGTTGTAGCCCCTGAATCCACCAGCGCAACGGCGGGAATTCCCTCCTTCTGGGACTGCAAAAAGATACGAGTGTCCAAAAGTAAATGCCGAGGAGGGCCAGGATTTACTTCAGCAATTTGGGGTGGGGGTGTAGGATGTGCCCGACCTAGGGTTTCCCCGAGGTCGGGCCTACCCCGTTTCCCGACGGGCCAGGAGTGGTTTCGGGCACAGGTCTGCGAGTCCCTCTCCGAGTGCAGGAATTTGCAAAATGTCCTGGACCCCCACA